CGACGACCTGCCCATCGTCGCTATGAACAGTACACCTGTCACTTGTCATTCCCAATATCTTCTCCCCACTCGAGCCGGCCAAAGCGTCCGACAGCTGACTCTTCTTTCCATCCGCGCATGTCATTCTTATCTCCACTTTATATCCCAGCAAGATTCTGGTGATCTTCATGAGTTTACCGGAACTTCCTCCGTTGTCTAGAGCCGAGCCCAGCTGAGATCGAGCAGCGGCGCTAACATCCCTGTTGTAAGCCAACATCGTTAGTTTGTCGAATGTGAAGGTGCTGAAAACTCACCAAAAGCCCCGATCAACGTCGAATGCTTGCATGCCGCCAGCCTTAAGGGAGAGTGTCATATCCGGACTGGTAGCGTCAACCACTTTGGTGTCGTAGAGGGGGTCATGATCGAGGTTGGGAAACCCAAGGCTTGCCCAAGAAGCTGTCTTGGCATGGGAAAGATCGAGATCTAACTCAATCTCTTCGCGGCCACCATCCTGAGCACCAACCCAAGAGTCGACTCGTCGGTCGATGCCGTTGATTGAATAGAGCGGTCGATAATAGACCTGGTCAGTAGGAACCGCTAAAGGAGTCTGTGCGCGCCCTGTTGAAGATGGGATGTCTATATTGGAACATGGCATGTTGCTCCTATGACCGGTCATGCACGGTTAGTACCTGCAAGTTTATTATACGAAAGGGCTTCAGAAATCATCTGCTTACCCAAGTCTGAGGGTTGAGGTATCCCGTGCTAGATCAAACGCAGCCAATACCAGCCCGACACTGCTTGACGTTTTAGTGGCAGCAAGGGTGTAATCCGATTCAAGCCGTTTCTGCTCGCTCTTGGCCCATGCATAGTAAATGCCGAACTTCTCGCCCCACGCTTCAAAGTTGGTCAGCTCCGATCCAGCCACAGCTGCGAATTTCTGGTATAGATCGAGGTCCTGGAGGTATGCCTGTGCACTTCTGTCCTGCGCCTGCGCAACTTCAGAGCGGAGCTTTGAGCTTGAGCCACTGACATCGGACGAAGTCATGGCCTGCTTGGACATCAGTCTTTTCACCATACTCGCCATAATAATTGGAGGAGGACTCACATCGTCGTGAACAGTTTGTAGATACCTGGCTCAAGTTAGTTGCATGATCCCTCCCGGTTACAAGTTAGAGACGGAGACATACTTGCGACGAGAATCAAAGTAGCTCTCTCCATCAGACGTGTAGAATGGAGATCGAGTGCTCTGTAAACAATCGGTTCGGCGAAATATGTGATCGTTGGTGATCTGCTGAGGAGCAAACTCGCCCGCAGGGATATCAAAGAGGCCCGGTGAGGCGACGAAGATCGCCTTGGTAGAATTGTCCAGGTCATCTTGCGTTGTCATATGGGCCTGCAGCGCAATGGCATAAGCCTTCCAAACAAGTCTTGAGCCGCCGTTTGCCAAGAGAGTGAAATTCCGCTTGCTAGCGGCCAGACTTCCGGTGAGCCGCATCTTGTCTGTTCCGACAGAACATGGAACGAACACAGCGGCTCAGAATCTCTTTCAATCGATTTGGGTTGAAGTTTGGATATTGTTCCAATCCGGATGGCCAGTGAACTGCCATTTATTATCTATTGATAACATGAAAACTAAGATACGTCCTTGTTTTTTGAAATTAGCAAGAGTCACCCGGAAAGGTCATAAGCTAGGTGATTGTGGCTCTCCATCTGCAGTATGAGGCTTGAATACGTTATGCAGGCTCGTAATAGTATCTCGAACTGTAGGAAACGTGAACCGGAGACCAACTCCGGTCGGGAATATTTGTGTTGAGTTGTCTCTCATCACACGAACAATATGACTTATCTTGGTTCAGATCTATTGGCTGCGGGAGACTCAAGACGTACTGGAGTGAATACGATGCTTCCGCTATGCTTTCTACATACATTGAGTAGTCCATTGCGTTAGAACCGTATATTGAATCAGGCGACTGCCGGCGATATTGGATATACCTGCCAAGATTCAGCGATAATATTGAATGCAATGAAGTTCTCCTTTTCATCGACGTTACAGGACGCTGGGGGTAAAGTGCTGCCTGGTCTTGTATCTACAGGTCTTGTTGATTAAACGATAGATGACAGCCACAAATGGTCACAGCCAGCCACTCTCTACGACAATAGTAACCGAGCCGCCACTTATCACACACGTCACGTAGCTTCTCAGCCAGGCTGCCAGTTAGCGAACTCCCGGAAAGAAGCACTTCCGAGATACTAAGTGATTTGAAACTGAGTAGTCATTCCTGTTTGGACGCCTCAGCCAGCAATGGAGTGTCTAGTCTACAGTTTCTCTGCCGTCCGCGGTGACCTTGTCCATCGCAGCCCATGTAGATCACTCTCAGTTGTGACGTCTATCTTGGGACATGCTACGGCAAATGGCAGCACGCTAGTATCCCTCAAGGAATGCTCGTTCGCCTGTGGTTGCAATAATCATTTCTTGGCGAGGGGTTTGGTGAAGCGAACTCAACATGTAGATCACATAGCGTACGTGTCTGACTGCTTTCAAGACGGCTGACAGCATCCGCCAAGCTAAAGGCTACCTACCGCGAGCAACCTTAGCTTACATAGAGATAAAAGTTGCAGCAGCCATGGCGGAGAGCCTTCCCCTTTATAAAGGTCAATGGTTTCCCTTACTTTTAACTCTCACCAAACAGTTCACCAAACACTACAAGAACACCCAACTTCAAACACAAACACAACATTCTCCCCCTTTCTTATCCCAACCAATCACGCTTCTACCCGCACAATGTCTGAAGAGAACCAGCTCTTTTGGAAGGCATACGCCTCAACCGTGAAGAACATCATGGTCAGTGGCCCGGTCGGTGACAACACCAGAGTCTACATCGCCGCCGCCAACACTGCTGGCATCTCCGGTGGCAAGGACATCCCGGCTGTCTGCACCAACTGGGGAATCTACCAGTATGCGGACTTCTTGTTGGATCCCACCAACCCCAGCTTTGTCGCCAGCAAGGTCTCGCGCTACTCTGAAGCGCTGAACATGACCTTGCAGACCCTGACTCCGGTTAGTTCCTCCCCACCTCCAACTCACTTCACGTTGACTGATGGCGATTGCTACAGGGAGCTGGTGGCGATAACTCTCCCGACGCCTGGGACAGACTCAACAAGGCTAAGGAGAGGCTGGCTATCCTCCGCTCCGAGCTGGATGACGCAAAGAAGCAGGCTATGCAGGACTTCAAGGACGATGACAACCCTGACAAGCCCAAGTCATTCGCTCAGTGGGCTCCGCTTAACGCCAATGCCTACCTGGTTGCCTTCCAAAACTGGTACATAACCTGACAGCATCGAGCGCATTGGAGACCTCTTACTAACAGCTGTACCACAGGGAGGCTGCCACCAATGAAGTTCAAATGAAGACCAACGCCATTGGAGGTGCTGGCTCAGCTCTTCTTGCGGAAGCTATGAAGAGTGCCGCCAACGGATCCAACACTTTGACTGAGCTGAAAGGGTGCGTGCCAATGCTATCTAAATTCCCGTTACCTTTGATCCATCTAACCCTTCGCTATCAGATACAACATGAAGGCCAGCATTCAATCAGTCACTTACGATGCTGCTGGTAGACCCATCCTTCCTGACCCGCTCGAAACCCAATATGTGCCTCAGTACTCTATCTCGGGCTACGCTGCCATGCTTGATGGCTGGGTTGGCTTCTCGAACAAGAAGCCGGATGAGTTTGGCATTAGTCTCTCTACTGGCCAGCAGTCTTCTTTCAAGGACATCGGCTTCACTGAAGCTCAGGGTAATGCTTCCTTCAGTCGCTTCCCTGTCTTTGACTTCTATGCAAGTGGGGGTGGACGTGTTGAGCACTCCAACTTCAATATGAGCTCCAACGCGAAGGATGTCAAGGTTTCTCTCAAGATCCAGCACTACAAGACCGTCCCATTTGAGCCTGGTTCTTGGTAAGTTCAACGCACTTGTTCACCAACCTCCAAGCATCATCTAACTCGATGCACAGGAACGTCGATGTCAAGAGCCTCATGGCTAAGCTTGGTGCTAAGCCACCCGCCATGTTTCAAAAGGTCCGCCCCACGCAGATGCTCATCGCTCAAGGTGTCAGCATGGAGATCAGCTTCAGCGGTGACGCCAAGACAGCTTTTGACCAGGACTACAAGAAGACGGTCCAAGGTGGCGGTGGTATCAGTGTTTTCGGATTCCGCATCGGAGCTTCTGGTTCCTCTTCTGAGGAGAATGAGTCCCACGGCAACACCTGGGACTCTAGCTCCGGTGTCCTCACCATCAACGCTGAGAACTCTCGTGCGTCCGCCAATGTTTTGGCTGTCATGGGTGAGATTGTCAGCGCTTAGGGTCTTTGTTGTTTCCAGAAGTTGAGTCGAAGAGGAATTGCATTGTTTCTGAGTAGCCAGTTGGAGATTTGAAGTTGGTACGAGTTCCTTGGTAGTTTAGCTCCAGTCAGTCATTTCCGTCTGCACAGTCGTATCGCTATAGTTTAACTCAATTCACTCCTTCTCGCCACAATGCCCAAGTTAACTATGCGACTCGCACTCCATTTGCCGCGAAAGTAGATGAAGCTGAGAGTCTTGATTGGCTAAACTTAAGAGATTGTTGGAGAAACATTAAATACATCGTGGTGAATTCTAGGGCTTGCATAATAATGAGATATGGAGGATATAAGAGCATCTTCAAGACTGGTTGCCTTAATTGTTTACTAGTCATGAGCCCGGTAGCGCAGTGGTTACATGGTAGATCTTCAGGTACCACAGTGGTAGGCGAGCCCTGAGGTGAGCATGTCGATGAAGTCCACCCAAAAAGTGGAGCCACGGATAATGTGCACCAGAAGGAGTTCCTAGAGTTAACTCAGCCTAAGGGGCGTGTTGAGAAGTGAGAAGAGACAACCGCGCCGTGTTGAGAACATCAGCAGCCTCAAGGACGAGGTCGTTTTGTAACCCCTTGTTTTTTGTGATACTATAGCAATAGGTTCTTGTTATCTTACAAGGGCATATATGGCTTTATCCGCCCATGGCCCAGTCCGCAGCAGCAACTGCATGAATCTTTGCAGTGTCAAATATCGGCAGCTCACTTCCAGCCTCGTCGACCAAGAGTCCAATCTCTGTGCATCCCATGATCAAGCAGTCAGCGCCACTAGATTTAAGCTTGCCAATAATTCTATGGTATGCTTCGCGTGACTCGGCCTTGATGATTCTGTTGCAGAGTTCTTTGTATATGATATCATGCACAGTCTCCCTGTCTTCGTCATCCGGAATGATGACATGTAGCCCAAACTTATCGCTCAATCGTGATTTATAGAAATCCTTCTCCATAGTGAAACGCGTTCCAAGAAGACCGACGGATTTAAAGCCCGCTTTTATAATTTCTGTAGCTGTTGGGTCGACGATGTGAATGAGAGGTAATTGCGAGGCAGATTCGATGCCGTAAGAGACAAAGTGCATCGTATTTGTGCATAGAACCAGGGCGTCGGCACTAGCGAGGCTAAGCTTGGTGGCTGCATCATTAAGCATTTCGCCCGCTTCATCCCATTTGCCTTGATGCTGAAGGGCCTCAATCTTGGCAAAGTCAAAGGAAAATACGATGCATTGTGCTGAGTGAAGACCTCCTTGCATTTCGCGCACGCGGCGATTGATTTCTTGGTAATAAGTCGTAGTTGACTCCCAACTCATTCCGCCGATCAACCCGAGTGTTTTCATGGCGATATTGTCTCTGTTTGCTGTGGACACGTGGCTTTTTTGGTGGATGAGATGAAGTAGTGATTTCAATGTAAGATGAAGGTTTGGCTGTACAAGATTAAGCTCACTGGGTTATCTTCCACGGTGGTCCACGGATGACTCAAGTAAGGTACGTACCTTGATTATTGGTGACTCACGAGCGAAATAGGGTCACAGCTGGGCAGAAGTACAAAACAAAAAGACGAAAAGCTCTCATTTTTCATTATCATAAATACTAAATTATGTGAATATCACGCCTTTTTATGAACTCGCCGTCTTATTTCCAGCCACGAGCCCATCATCATTCTCCATCTCCTTCCAAGCACTCTCCAAAGCATGAACCTTGACACTAACCTTGACATCCTCGGGCAAGTCGGTTGCGCTGAATATCATGAGTGTCAATGGCTCTGTGGAGAAGAAAGTGTTGGTAACACTATCAACACCATCGTTGAGGAAAGCCTCGTAAATAGACCTATCAATGACACCGCTAAGGCTCCAGGTGCCGTTCTCAGTAGCAAGACTGCCGAGTGAGGTCTTATCAGTGTAGAAGATATTGTCAAACCCCTTGACACCACTACGGTCGAGGAAGAACACGGGATCGCCGCCGAGATAGTAGCCGCTCTTGATGGCTTCGTTGGTGATGGGGCTTGAGAACGTCCAGTTCATAGAAGAGGTTGAGGGAATTCCACCGTCAGGAATGCCAGTGACGTTGACTTCCCAGTAAATAGCGTTGGACTCAACATCGAAGTAGTCAACAATGAGTGTTCCGTTGCCAAAGCTGCTGTTGGAGGCGAGCTCACGACCCAGCACAGGGCCAAGGTCATAAGGCTTGGAGACAAGCTTCCAGCCAACGCGCTTAGCCTTGGTGAGGTAGTTCTCACGAGGAAGACTCATGGCACTTCTCCAACCCTCATCGCCTGTAGGTACGACGCTGGTGTACTGCCAGTTGGATGCCCAAGCAATGGAAACAGGATACTCGTCCTCTGAAAGACCATAAAACCACTGCCCAGCATAGTTGTCTTTTCCAAAGTCTGCGATTCGTGCAGCAGCATCAACAGCCTCAAAGTGAGTACCGTTGAAAGTACCAGGAAAGTACTCAGTAATAGAACCTCCCAGGGGCGCACCAGGATTGATGCTAATGGCCATGAGCCACATATCATCCTGCTTCTTACCGTCCTCATCCACGTAAGGCATGGGGATCATGTTGGGGCACTCGTACTGTAGACCGAGAAGGCCATGGTGGGAGAAATTGCTGGTAGGCTTCCAGTCCTTGAGGTTGTCAGACTCAAATATACCGATCTTGAAGTCTTGAGGGTAGGCAACGACCATGATCCATGAGTCATCATAGCGAATGACTTTGGGGTCACGGAACTGGGTAGATGTGCTGTTGATGACGGGGTTGTTGGCATATGGAGTAAACGTGTAGCCTCCATCTTTGGAATAGGCGATGGCTTGATCCTGAACTGTAGGCGATGATAGAGTCTGTATATGATTAGCGGTGATCATCCAACTACAGTTGACAACTTACGTAGATCGCAACTACACCATTGTCTTGGTCAGGGAAGAATCCAGACGTGTTGTTGACATCAACAACAGCACTTCCAGAAAAGACATAAGTGTCTTTCTCCGGTGGGAAGAGCGCAATGGGCTGGTTCACCCAGTGGTACAAGTCCTTTGACGTTGCATGGCCCCAATGCTGGTTGCCCGCGACTACATCAGTGGGATTATACTGGTAGTATAGATGCCAGAGACCATCGGCATCGCGGAACATGCCATTGGGGTCGTTCATGAAATGTTGGGGAGGCGAAAAGTGAATCTGAGGACGATATGTGCCATTGTAATCGCCCGTGATGGGTGTTCCAGTTGGTACAGAAGGAGTAGTGGAAGACTGGGCGGCACTGAGCTGGACGAGGCCAGCGACGGTCGAGAACAAGAGACCTCTCATGGTGATCAAGATGCAGAATTGTATCTTGCTGAGCAAGTCAAGTTTTTGAGAGTTATATGACGCTTATATACCCCAGCACCCTGATCAGGCGATACCGGCCCAACGACACCGGCACCGATCCAACGGTTAGCGTTTTTCTTCCCCGCGTCCATCTCCAGGCAAGAAACACGCCGATCTGGAGAACAAGTGATGTCAGAGCCATAGGTTAATCTGCTGGTTGTGGGGAAGGACATGGGAAATGGACCGACTTGGCGAGGTAGTGTCGGACCGATAATCATCGTCATCGAATGGAAGATGGAGCTCAGGTTCTGAGTGAAGATCTTGTCTTGAATCGTGTTGCAGTTGGAGTTTGCTACTCCACATCAACGGCCCGACAGTTGAGATGACAGAAGTTTATCGGGGAAGTCGAATCATGGGGAAAGTTTAAGTGAGGTGAGACATTCCGAGATGAAGCGATTTATTACCGGGAGTTGAGGAATCGTGCAATAGAGGGAGTATGAGCATGTATCTATTCCAATGGTTCGATCAATTGAGCATTTTTGGAGGATGGACGGTGAAAGAGGCATCAAGATGCAGGGTAACTTAGTTGGTGGGGTTGACTACAGGGTTGGCGATGACAGTAACATTGCGCCGGATACTCGGAAAGACAAAAATGCTCACATGATGAGAAAGAACAGTCTTGTATTAAGTAAAAGAAAAGAGAGAGCAAAAGTACATGCAAGAAATATCCACAAACTCCAGGCACCTCTATCCATCCTTGCATCCCGGTGACATTACTCCTCACGAAAGCATTCTTCATCTGCTCATCACCGCAGTGTCACCCTTGTCATCGCTAAACTCCACGTCCAGCGCCGTCAAAAATTGCTTCAATCCCTGCTTCTTCGCTTGACCAAACCATTGGAGCACCTTTGCAGTGGGAAGCTCCTTCAACTCTGGTAATTTCTCACAGAGGTTCGCAAATTCACCCATGCTCAAAGTCTTTATACCCGCGTGCTCGATAATTTGTGCCCTGTCTTGTGGTTGGGCAGAGGACCGGAGAAGCGCGTCGACGATGCGGCTCGAGATCTGATCAATTGGCGCGAAATGACCCGTGCCATTCAGACCTGTTGGATCGGGGCGCAGAGAAATGGCTTTCGCGAGACGAAGAAGCTCATCTGACGTGATGGTATCCTCATCGGCAGTCTCGGTAGCAGTCAATGCTGGTGCTGGGCGGTGAATAAACACAGGCAATCCAGCTCGCTTCGCAGCATCACGCAACAACCCTTCAGCAGCCCACTTTGACGCGACGTATCCATCGCTGCCATCAACAGGTGGATGTCCATCTCCATACCGTTTGACAGCTCCACTGGACAACACGTGAACTGGAAGACGGCAGGGAAGCGCGAGACGAATGAGTTCCGCGACGCTGCTAACGTTGACGGCGCGAAGGGAACGGTAATCATCCCAGAAAGAACGGTTAGCACCGCAGTGGATGATCGCGTCGACACTGTTGCTGAGACGCGTCAAGTCATTGTCAGAAAGACCCAGGCTTGGTTGGCTTAGATCTCCACGCCAGAGAGTGGCTTTGTCGCTGGTCTCTGTGATTGACGCGTCGCGGACAAGACAGTGTATCTCAGACACTTGAGAGGCCTTGGCAAGATGGGACATCAAGTTTCGCCCCAAGAACCCAGTCGCGCCAGTGACAAGAACTCGAACAGGACCATTCAACTTCTGCGAAGCGACTTGCGTCACGCTCAGCCATTCATCGGGAATATTGGTCTCACTCTCCCAATTAATGTCACCACCACTGACCTCATCGTTCACCAGCGCAGCCATCTCCCGAAGCTTACTAGCAGCCATGAGGTTCAAAAGCCTTAGCGACACGTTGAACTCCTTCCTGATCATGCCCTGAAGCTTGATCAGCAGCAATGAGCTTCCGCCGACGTGGAAGAAGTCGGTGTCTGCTGTGATGGCAGCAGATGCGCTTGCTGGGACCAGAGACCTCCACATTTTTGCAATGCTTTTCTGTGTCTCCGACTCCAGACTGCCCTCTTCAGCAACGGCATCATTGGCCGTGGCCGGAGTGAAGGCAGGTAGAGGAAGGGCTGCGATCGCATTGCGGTCAGGCTTCTGATGCGCTGTCAATGGGAAGCGATCAATTGGTAGCATCAAGGCTGGAAGCATGTAATGAGGCAAAGGGAGCTTCGAAACGATCTTGCGCAAGAAGGACTCTACTTCAGGACGACGAAGACTCTTGTCAGCGACAACGACATGCGCGACAAGGAAACCATCATCATCGTGATCCTCATGACGATCCTCAAGGTATCGTAGAGTCACAACAGCATCTGACAGAACGCCCTGGGCTGCACTCAAAATAGCACTCTCGACGTCACCCAACTCAATGCGATAGCCTCGCAGCTTGACCTGGGTGCCACCTTCGATACGACCCAATATATCGACCATACCGTTCGCACGAAGTTTACCACGATCGCCGGTGCGATACATGATCTTCCACTCCTTCGACGATGTCCATGGATCTGTAATGAACTTCTCCTTGGTAAGATCCGGGCGTCCAAGATAGCCATCTGCGACACCAGCACCGCCTACCACAATCTCGCCAGGATAACCGCGTGGAACGAGCTTCATGTTCTCGTCGACGATGTAGGTAGAGTAATTGGCACAAGGGAAGCCAACGTCAGTGACGTATCGCATCTGTGCCTTCTCACCCTCAGCGTAGTCAGCAAAGTTGAGTTCAACCCTGTTGGTGACAGTTGTCTCGGTCGGACCACAATGATTGAAGACTCTGAGATGAGGAAGTTCAAGACCAGCAAATGCGCGAACAAGCGCGGTTGACAGAGGGCCACCCGATGAGGACGCATTCTCCCATGATCTGCAATCAAGAAGACGGTCTCGAGCAAAGCGATGCCAGATGCTATACTCGGACGGCGTGCACATCGTATAAGTAATGTTGTGTCGAGCAATCATATCGACTGTACCAAGAGGGTCGCCGCGCTTCGAGTTGGGAACGACAAAGACACAACCGCCGTTACAGAGCGCAAGCATCGTCTGGTCAATTGACAGATCAAAGCTGAAAGCGCTCTGTTGGAGGACTCGTGCAGCGTAGCTGGGTTTGTCCTGTTCTTGGACTATGGCGTGCGGTTCAACGAGAGCCTTGAGACTTCGATTTGTATGGACGACGGCCTTGGGAATGCCAGTTGAACCGCTGGTACAGAGGATCATGGCCTTCTGACCTGGCCGAGCGCGAATCGGGACTTCAGTGGTAGAAGATCCAGCGATGGGAACGTGGATCATCTGGGCGGATTGAGTTCCCAATTGATCAAATTTGTTGGCCGTAGAGTCGTCAACCAGAACTGCCTGGGGTTGAGCGACTTGCACATTGGCCGCCAATCGAGGCATCCCGATGGGGGGATACAAGGGCACGTAGGTCATGCCGAGCTTGAGAATTGCAAGCATCGAGCAGATCCAGTCAACACCAGTTTCTTGGAATACACCGATGAAGTCACTCTCCCTCAAACCAGCGGAAGTCAAAGAAGCGGCAATCTCATCGATGCGACGGCCCATTTGCTCGTAGGTCAATTGGCTCGTCTCATCGTCAAGTGCCGCCGCGGTTGGATTCTCGTGGATCATGGTGTCAATGCGATGGGAGAGCGTGTCGGCGTTGGGCCAAGCATCAATCGTAGGACCCAGAGAAATAGACAAGTCATCCTCGTTCCACGGCGGCAGCGACTTGAGTGTCATCTTCGGACCAGCTTCATCCGCCGTAACCTTTCTCAAAAGATTGGCATAGGCCCGGATAAGCATCTCAGCATGCTCCCTATCATACAACGTCGATTGAACCTCGACACCAACTCGAACACTCCCGCCATTCTGTTCATCAGAGTCGTCAAGGATGTAAAATGCAAGATCACTACCTTGGCGCTCTGCTCGCCCTGTGCCCATCTCAGCCTTGCAATCACCAAGTCTGAACCACTCCTTGTGCGAAACGCGGTAGTCAATCAGGATTTGCGCTACGGGTACTGCATCGCCATGACGCGTGATGCATAGCTCTTTGAGGAGAACATCGAGCGGAAGAACGGAATGTTCCAGGGCCTTGTAGGTCTTTGTGCGAGCGGCTTTGACGGCATCTAAGAAGGAGAGTTTGTTGTAGTCGGTGCGATCAAAGCGGAGGAAGAGAGTGTTGACAAACAGACCAATGGTATCCATAAAGTCTTTGTCGAGTCTGTTGGTGTCGTCCATCGCGATGAACAAGCGATCCACAGAGTCGGGCATCAGACCAAAGAGCAGAGTCTGAAGAGCTGCGACGTAGACGTGGAATGGGGTTGAGTGATTGGCCTTGGCAAGCTTCCTGATACGCGCTGCTTCCAAAGGCTCAAGAGTGATCTCCGCGTTGTAGCAACTGTAGTTCTCGAGTAACTTCCTATGGCTGACCTTTGCAAAAGGCAGCAGAGGGAGTGGCTCCGGCTCAGGCATGATGAGCTTGCGATAATACTCAATCGCCTTTCTCCACTCGAATGGCTTAGACAGGTTCTGTCGACGTTGCTTGGCAATGTAAGCTCGATACTGCTTCGCATCAGGCAGTGTCGGAATCGATCCGTTGGCGTTGTAGGCTTTTGCCAGGTCGCGCCAGAAGATCTCGAGACTGTACCCATCAAAGGCGATGTGATGGAAAGCTAACACTAGCCAGTGCTCAGTATCAGATTGGGAAAGAAGTGAGAGTTTGATGGTTTCCCAATCGCCGAGGTTCCAAGGGTGAGAGTGAAGCCATTCCATCTCCTGCTCAACGTCCTCCTTGCTATTGATGTGTCGCGATGCGAGATGCACAGTCGGCCTGGAGAGAACGCCTTGCATGGGCGTCTCGAGGGACTTGCCTCCAAACTGCGATACTGATCAGCTTCGTTCTCAAAACAGACTACATCAACTGCTCCGGCGAAAGGATCGGAGTAGTCACTTACAAAGAATCTCGTCCGTAAAATCTCATGCCTCTTCGCAACACCCTCCAACGCCCTCTCAAACTTCCCAACGTCAACCCTACCCTTCAAATGCGCCGAAATCGTAACATTAAACGTAGTTTTGTCCTCCAACGCCGTAGTAAGGAACCAAAAGCGACTCTGAACAAGAGACATCTCATCGACAATCTCACTCGAACTCTTCACAATCTCCTCCCGCCTCTCCGCAACCACCGCTTCTTCATCTGCACGGCGCTTTTTCGCTACCTCGTCTTCGAGCTCTCGCTTATGCCTGTCGTCCAATCCATTGTTATTCTTCATGTTGTTTAGGGATGGGGGGATGCTTGCCGTGTCAGCTCCCGCTGTGCTCTTTGCGGTTGTGGAAACATCTGTCGCTGAGCTTTGCGAGACAGCGTCGGAGTCGCCAGTCACGACGTCTGAGCTAGAGCTTGAGGTTGGAGGTTCAGTGAGCTTCTTGTCGCTAACTGGCTGCGCTTCATTGCTTGCCTCGTCATCGTCGCGGTCCAGGTCGAGAAGAGCCTTGGGAATTCGCTCCAGGGCATCACTTGCGAGATCAAGAATTGAGTTACCACCCAGAATCTTGAGAACAGGCATGTCGGTATCGAGTTCCTTCAAGAACCACGATCGCACGTCCACAGCAACAAGCGAATCAACACCTTGGTCCACCAAAGCCAGCGACTCGGGGACGTCAGTCTCTGCAGGAATGCGCAGCATCTTCTTCAGCTTCAAAGTAAAAGCATCAGTAATGACCCTCAAGGCCTGGTCCTTGCTTGTGACACGCTTCAATTGGCGACTAAGGGACACCGCAGCTGCATTACCTGACGCATCGACATCTGCATCGCCGTCGACTCGTTCAATCAGCATGTTGCTGAACTTGGAGTCATGGATGAAGAATGACTTGTGCTCATCATCGGAGAATTGAGGCATAATTCCCTGTGAGATTTCACCGCCCTCAATATCCTCATCAGGACCGAAGCGCTGGCCAGCGAGAATGGCTTCTGCGATGAGCTGGTGAAGACCTTGAGCCGAGGTATTGGCGATACCAATGTCCTTGAAGAAGCTCGCGTCGTAGATCTTCTGTCGCTCAATGTAGCCGAGACCAATGAGAGCGCTGATGTTGATGATGGACGCTGCGAGACCGCGCTTGCGACGATTGTTGACGAGGGAGGCCATGAACATGTTCGCAGCGGCGTAATTGGCTTGGCCTCGAGATCCGACGATACTAGCTGCTGAGCTGAACATGAGGAAGAAGTCCAGCTTGGTGTCGGCAAATAGCTCATCGAGGTAAATACTGCCATTGACCTTGGGCGCAAGGACCTTGTTCAGATTGGCAGCATCCATGTCCTTGAAGAGAACATCCTGCAGAAGCATAGCACCGTTGGCGACACCAGCGATCGGTGGCAGTGTGCGGGTGATGGCCTGGTAGCACAAATGAAGTGATTCCTTGCTAGTGATGTCAAGTTTACGAGCGACGACAGTGACGCCAGCTTGTTCCATGTTGTCAATAAATCGCTGATCGACCTTGGGATAGCGACTGGTCAACACGACATATCGGGCTCCATGAGCGGCCATCCATTCACAGCACGATTGACCCATCTCGCCTGAGAGACCGACGAGAAGGTATGTCTTGTCTGATCGGAAGATGTTGGTGTGATGGTCGAGAGGATGAACGCGCACTGGCACTGATGGAGTGGCCCAATCAACAAGGTGTAGCGACTGGCCAGTTGGTGCAGTGAAGGCCTCGATGTGGTTGAGCGGAATAGTCTCACGATCGCGAGCTTCAATAACCATGCTGCTTGCCTTGCTCCAGGCAGCTTGGAGCGCAGCCTTTGCATCTGCTAGATCGCCTGGGCGAACCTCAACGCGGTTTCGGATCAACGACTTCTCCGCCCGAGCGTACCATGGAAGGCATTCAGCCATGGCAGACGCAACAATCGCGGAAGGACTGTTGGGAGGTGAGAAGTCGACCAGGAGCGAGGAGGTAGTCAAAGCAGGGAGGACCTTCCTGATAGCACGAGATGACATCTCCTGCGCCAGCCAAGTGGTCTTGCCGGGGAGATCTTGAGGCTGCTGACCTTCTACCAGGCAACCAGTGAAGCTGACGTGCCAGGATGGTGCGGGATGTGACTCGAACAAGTTCATGATTGCAGCACGCACCAAAGGATCTGCCTCGTGGATGACGATATGGCTGCCCTTCTGCTGAGGGACCAAGGCTGCAATCTGAGCAGCGACAAGGTGCGCCGCCGTCGACAACAGAGCCATTGAAGATATTTCCTCCGAAGTACCAGCTGGAAGAGCGACCGTAAGGTCCTGGGGCGCCGTCGCTGGTGTCTCAGCAGAAGGTGTCAAAGCGAGAACCCGCTTACCATCAGCATCGCCAACGCAAAGACGGAAGTAACCCAATGTGCCGATCCTCAATGCCTGGAGGAGTGACTTTCGGATGTGAACCTCGTAGCTTGGAACAGCAGTATCGGTCTCGGGCTGGACACGAAGAGGCGAGATCTGCCCGATGACTGGAGCTGCCAGTGGCGCATTGGCGCTGGCATTGAGACTGAATGAAGTCTTGGGTGACTGAGGATCAACTTCCTCATGGATGATACGACGGATTGAGTTGAAGCGATGGTTCAATTCCTTGTTGACGTTCAGTCGCGGCATGTAAGTCCTCTTCTCAACGACTCGCACCTCGGACTCTTGAGTCCATTGAAGTTTGTCGTTCAGATCAGCGCCGTTGGCAATCTCTTCGCGCTTCCACTTATCAAGAAGTTCAATACGTCTCAGAGCACTGGCGACGAAATAAGGCACCCATGATCCGTCACCAACGGTCGCGTTGTCGAGATCAACTGTCTGGAGGGTGAGGCTAGGGTACTCTTGGCGGATTGATCGCGCGAGACCGACTACCATGTTATTGTAAGGTTGCTCTGATGCTGCGCCCTTGGTAACCCAGAGGATGTTGCGGCCTCGAGCCCAGAGGGTCTTGAGACCATCGAGCTTGGGGTCTGTGACGGTGCGGAGAACAGGTTCATCGAGCTCAGTCAGGCAGAGAACAGAAGAGCCTTCGGGGAATTGGTCTTCAGTGATATCGTTGAGAGCTTCAACGGACCTAAAGTGGCTTGTGGTCTGGTAGAATGGGGCGACAAGAGACTTGGTCTTCTCAACAAGGTCCATTGTACCAAGAGACTTTCCGCCGACAACCACCAAGCTCTGCTGCTTCTCAGGAACAATAGTGAGTGGTTCTCTCAAAAGATCAACCTTCTCATCTCTTGCCATTGAGACCCAGAGACACATTGGCTGGGTCTGATTGTGGCCGACAGTATGCGTATCGACACCAGTGAAGCCCGTCCTCTTCAGAGCATCGTCCCACTGCTCAAGCGTCAACATGGGACCCCAAGGGCGACCATACTCAGCTCCAGACCACCAGGCAGCAAAGCCACCCATACCAATACCCAATCGCACGGCATCATTGTTGATGTTCTCGAAGCCAATGAGACGACCGCCGGGCTTCAGAAGACGACGGATATTGCGAAGAGCTCCCTCGACATCTCCAGTTGCGTGCAGGGCCATGCCAGCCATCACGACGTGATAAGAAGACTCAGTAAAACCTTGCTCTTCGATACTGTTGTTCATATCGAGAGCCTTGAAGTTAATACGACCGGAATAGTCCTTGAACTTCTCCTCTGCTTTGTCAAAGAAGGCAGTCGAGATGTCTGTGAAGGTGTAGACCGAGAAGGCACCGTCAATGGCGGGCAGAGCATGCGATGTCGCACCACCAGTACCTGCGCCGACTTCAAGGACACGCATCTGGGGGTAGATGTGGGCAAGTTGGCGCATCATATTATACATCTTCTGGTCACTTGCTTCGTAGCGAAGGGTCTCCTCGTAGTACCGATTCAGCATGTTATCCTTGGTAAGATACTCGTGCACATTGCCTTCGTTGGCAGGGACGACTTCAAGAAGAGCCTTGGCTGCGGCGTGGGTGAGTCTGAAGTCGTTGGATTTGGCATACTCCTCCAGAAGACGATCGACCTCAGCTTGGGTGTCGTTCATCATCTCTGGAGTCAGGAAGTGATGTTCTCCGCGACTGACGAGACCAATAACGTGGTCGCACCAAGTGAGAAGGCGCTTGAAGTGCTCTTGAGCCTCATCGCGAGCCCTTGAGCCAGCCGGGATAAGCTCAGCGAGACGTCGCACGTAGAATAATGACAGTCTGTCAAGGTTGTCGGCTGAGCGAATCTCTGCATCAGCCACCTCTTGAGGGCGATTGACGCGCGACGCCAGCACACCATCGGGCTCAGAAGGACCATAGACCCAGGTCGAGAAGAGAGGAGAGTCGTTGGCAGAAGTAGCGGGCGTGAATGGCCTCATTCTGGCGCCCTCGACCGCGATGTAGGCTTGTTGGCCATCAGGCGAAAGCATCTTCATATCGCCAACGGCCTCACCCAGAGAATCCGCATCCTCACCAAGCGTGGTACTGGCTTCCCAAGCCATAGTCGCGCCTCGAGTAGCTGACGCGAAATAAGGATTGACGTGGATCGCATCAATGCCCACCAGCATTTGTAGGCACCACAAACGGCCATCGCCAGGCGCAGCCATTGCAGCGAGAACAGTCTGGACACCAGAGTCCATAAGGCCAGGATGAGCTAGAGTGACTTGGTCTTCCCATTCAGGCCCAGACTGGTCAACAATCTTTCCGATCGCAAAGTCGGACTTGCGCTCAATCTCGACAATGCCCTTGAAGGGAGGGGAGTACTGGTAACCGTGCTTGGCTAGCTCAGTGTAGAAGCGGTCGATCTCAATTGGCGCGAGATTGAATTGACGAGACGGGTCCTGGGCGGTCTGACCAGGAATGGCATCTGCTGAAGGAGCACCAAGACGAGCGACGACCCGACCGTGGGCGTGAGTAGCTGTAACAGCTGGTGCCAGTCCGTGAGTGTGATAAGAGCAGCAGACGAAGTCAATGACGAGCTCATCATGGCTACTCTCAACAGTCTTCATAGTAACAAGTGTCTCAACACTTGAACTGTCATCATTGAAGACAATCGCCTGATCCATGGTAAGATCATAAAGACTCAACAATTTCACGGTCGGAGAGTCCTTGAGATCTCGCACCAGGATCATCGCCGCTTCAAGAGCCATAGCTGCATATCCACAGCCGGGGAAGATGACTTGCCCTTGAAGACGATGGCCACGGAGCCAGGGAATCTCGCGAGCGCGAAGAATGTTGCGCCATTGGGTCATGCCTGGAACACTGTTCTCGACCATACGGCGACCGAGAATTGGATGGACGGGCTCATCCATTTGACGAAGGGCAGCGCAGAAACGAGACTCCGACCAGAAGACCTGAGAGTCCGCCGAGAAAGGATATGGTGGAAGGTCTCTGACCACAGTGGGTGTTGATGCGCGACCAGAGAGTGTAGCGTCAATCGAGGCAAAGTCGACATGGCCGCGACCCAGATTGCGCCAGACAGCGCCGAAGCAATCGGCGGCACTCTCGACGTCGTCCTTTCCACGAGTAAGGACACCTTGGTATGGTGTACCACTTCCAAGGCTCTCCAGAGCAGGGCCTTTGAGTGCAGGATGAGGTCCCAGTTCCAGGGCCATGTCAAAGGGTCCCGAATGCGCTAGCGCGCAATCAAGTGCTGGTGCGAACATTACCGGCTTGACCATATTGTCAATCCAGTACTGAGGACTCAAGTTCTCCCGCTTCATGGGCGCAGCATTAACCTTGGTACTGGAGAACCAGAGAGGCCGCTGTTTAGAAATGACTTCTTCATCAAAACGAACACCGCTTCTCTGCAGAGCCTCAAGATACGGTCCTGCTGCAGCCTGCATGTGACTAGAGTGATACGCTGTATCAACCTTGAGTCGTCTCGCAAACTTGCCTTCGTCTTGGAAGACAGCGATGGCCTCTTCAATAGCATCCTCATCACCAGAGAGAGTGACGCTCGAGGGTGCATTCACAGCTGCGACAGTGATACGACCGGCATTATCCTCAAGCGCACAGAACTCGAGTGCGTCAGCTTCGTCTGTTCCGATTGCTGCCATAGCGCCCTTGATCTCGCTGGAGGACGGCGACCCAGCGAGTTTGGCGTAGCGGCCGCGGTAGTAAGCAGTCACGATGGCCGCGCGACGAGTCATGAAGCCAGCGGCGTATGCTGCTGCGATCTCACCAGAAGAGTGACCGACCACAGCGCTGAGCTGAATGCCTGCCAGTTCGCGGATGAGATCAACAAGAAGGACTTGAACAGCAGTGCAGAGAGGCTGCGAGATGGCGGCCTCAGCGACACGACTAGTCTCCTTGAAGGCAAGCAGCTCGGACTCGAGTGTGAAGTCGGGCGCGTCCGAAGCAGGAAGCTCGGCAAGATAGCTATCGAGCTCGGCGATCTTGCCGCGAGCCCAAGCAGATGACTCAAGAAGTGCAGCGCCCATGCGAGGCCATTGAGCGCCCTGACCACTGAAGACACCAAGAATCTTAGGTGCAGCGATACTCGAGGATCGGTGCAGCTTATGTGATGAATCAGTCAGGCGCTCAATTTCAGCAAGAATAGCACTTCTGGCAGCTTCTTGAGGATTTCCGTAACCAGCAGGGACAACCACGCTACTCCTGTAAGGTAGTGTTGAGCGTCTGTTGTGTAAGGTCCAAGCCAGATCGGACATGTTTGTCTCATATCGCTCTTCCAAGAAGCTCAAATACGAGGAGAGTACTTCTTTGAGGGCCTTCTCGCTGTTGGCGGAGAACAGAAGTGGTGTATACAGACGAGGAGACGCTGCTTCAGTGGTCGCTACAGCCTGGTTATGAAGAGCAGGCTCGTAGCTCTCCAGAATCGCATGAGCATTGGTACCACCAAAGCCTGTCAAATATAGTTAGCAAATGTCAGAGCCTTACGACTGCGATGGCGACCTTACCAAAACTGTTAATACTAGCGCGTTTGACGCTCCCATGTACATCAGGCCAGGCCTTTGCAGAAGTCGGAACTTCGAGATTGCTATAAAAGGGCTCAATATCAGGGTTGAGTGTCTCGAAGTGCATGTTTGGAGGCACAGTAGAATTCTTCATCGCCATCATGGTCCCGAGCAGACTCGCAAGACCCGCTGTGCCCTCCGTGTGACCAATCTGGGTCTTGATGGAGATGACGCTGAGCTTCTCATCGCGAGGTTGATCGTCGCCAAAGAATGCTCTAGAAATGGCCTCAGCTTCTTTGGGATCTCCGGCTTTGGTGCCTGTTCCATGGGCGTGGAAGAGCTGAGGACGGTCTGAGAGCTTGGCAATGTCCAAGCCAGCCCGTTGATAGACATCGCGAATGAGAGCTGTTTGAGCAATGTTGCTGGGCACAGTCAAGCCTGGGGTTTTGCCATCCTAGTATGATTAGCGGTCGCCTTCTGCACATACACATTAGTCACTCACTTGGTTCACACCAGTCTCACGAATAATGCACTCGATCGGATCTCCATCCGCCAGCGCCTGACTCAGCGTCTTCAAGATAACCGAGGCAAATCCCTCGCCTCTAGCATATCCATCGGCGTTAGCATCCCACATGCGACTACGGCCTGTGGGCGAAATCATGCGCAGCTTGCTCTCGCAGATGTACATGCCAGGAAGCAAGATGAGATTTGCACCTGCAGCGACTGCAACGTTGGACTCGCCGCTACGCAGAGTCCTGACTGCTTCGTGCACTGCAACCAGACTTGAGCTGCATGCTGTAGATCATCTTGTTAGGTTGTGGGGTTTGTAGATCAGAGATGGGGAAAACCTACCTGTGTCGATGCTCATGGAGGGGCCGTGCCAGTCAAACTGGGTCATTCATGTTAGTTCTGCACCAGCGCTGTAGCGTTCCACTCACTGTTACAACTTTAGTATTTGAGATCTCAGAGTTGAGTTATTACTTACCAAAATATGATACACGATTGGACATCACAGCGCGAGAAACGCCAGTGCCCATGTAGGTGGGAATGTCGTCCCAGTCTTTAGCAAGCATTTGGGCCCTGCATCATGCGTTATCAGTAACATGGACATGCAAAGATATGATCTGAGTACGCACCAGTCGTCACACATCTGTCCCACAAATACTGATGTCTGCATGTCAAGATCGGTCAGTTCTGCAACAAGAGATATGATCTGTCGCGCTGCTGTCAATACTCACATCTGAGCCCTTCAAGTCCTCCATCGCCCTGCATACTGTCAGTTCGCAACTCCTCATACACCCAGGATAACTCACAAGCCTGCGTCAACAACAGAGTCATAGACAGTCTCCAGCAACAATCTCTGCTGAGGGTCCATAGCCTCAGCCTCCATAGGCTGAATGCCAAAGAAGCCATTGTCAAACTTTGTAACATCCTCATCGAGAAAGTAACTCTGTGTGACGTTGGTAGTGCCATGGTGCGTCGGATCAGAGTGGTAGAATGAGTCCACATTAAACCGAGCCGGCGGCACCTTCTGCAGGACATCTCGGGATGAGCATACCAGATCCCAAAGCTTGGAAGGTGTGTTACAACCGCCGGGAAAACGACACGCAGTGCCGACCACCGCAATGGGTTCATTAGTCTTTGAGAATTTTGTCATTGTAAAAGATAGTAGTAAGTTTTCAAAAGATAATTCTCAAAGGCAAAAAGTAAGGGGTTTCACTAAGTTCAGCTTGGTACAACTAACAGTGGCGTTGACTTTATAAGATAGTGGGTGGGAAGACAGAACCTCAGGACTTGACTTGTTTTGCTAACACATGGGAAAATCTACTCGATGCTCTATCACGACTACGTCCTAGATGGGAATGGGATTCCAGGGGGCTTGAGCATCAAGGATTCTGGACAGCCTCTCCACTCCGCCTTCACAGCCGCTCTCACTTACCGGATGAACAGTTCCTCTCCCGGTCCCGATGATACTCTTGCCATGCTCGGCTACCGGCTCGAAACTCTTGGGATTCAGCCCCCAGTGTGCGAGATATCAAGGTCCATTGCAACTCTACAACGGTAAGCTTATCAAAGAAAGCGGAGAAGATTTGGTCATTTGGATTGACATGCCGATTATTGGTGATCAATGTTGCAGAAGGATTGTGGTGAAGTTTCAGGAGTGGTGTCTTGGTGAGATACTTTGAAGTGAAGTATAGAGCTGTTTCGCAATAATGATACGATTATTGGTGGAATAGGATCTGGTGGAGTGCTGATGTGATGCGACGGATGAGCAAGGTTCATGCAGGTGTTTGTCATATCAATGGATTGCGTGGGTGAATCGTGATGAGAGAGAATGGTCTGACATCTGAAAAGCCAAGATGTGTTATTATGAAGCCGCTGACTTACATATCGTAAGCGTAGTCAGTAGACTGTATTGAATTGCGTGTTATAAGTCTTAGTTAACTAAGAACCAGTTACATACCCCTATTTAGGACTATATCTTATAATACATAGCTTAATAGGGCTATTATAAGTATTTATAATAATAAGTATTATAGGCAATAACTTACATACATAAAGGCTTAGTTAATATATATAAATATTATTCTTTTATATACTTAGCTGTTAAGGTATTAAAATAGAACAATCTTTTAAGAAAAGGTATAAATATTGTAATTAATAATTAAGCCTCTTTTATTACGACCCCTTTATAAGCTTTCAAGTATAGTATATAATCTCACACCTAGAAGCAAGCCGTCCCACATATGATAACAAGGTTTATCCATAGCTACCCGCCATGCATCATACTACTCGTCCACTCGCCATTCACGCACTCGTTCTCCATCTAAACTCCAGCATTCAGCTCCTTCAGATGTAACAGTCATCTGCCAAGCGTAGCCAAGCTATCAATTTAGATTCCTTCTTTAGTCAAACCTGGTTTCGTCCTTAAGTGGTGTGACATAAACACCAGCCTGCATACGAGTTACCGGGATGTTGACATCAAAGCAAGTTAAATAGAGCGTCTATTTCGACTCTTTGATGACAGGGCCCAAGCAGGCAACGACAAAAAACTATGGAGCCAATCACCATCCCCAAGACGCAGCGTGCTCTTATCGGCACCGAGCGTGATACCCTCGAACTGTCAGACACCGCACCGGTTCCTACCCCTGGCAAGGGATGGGTACTGGTCAAGAACGTGGCGGTGGGCCTCAACCCCATCGATACTAAGCTTACAAGCGGATATACGGTCCATGGAGCAATTGGTGGCTTTGACTGCTCTGGTAAAGTCATCGCCCTCGGTCCCGATGCCTCAGACAGTCCTCTCAAAATAGGCGATGAGGTTGGAATCATGGTGCTTGGCATGAACCGGTCGATGCCGGACGTGGGAGCGTATTCCCAGTACACTCTAGCTCAGGAGGATTTCATCCTTCGCAAGCCACCCGGGTACTCCCTTGCTGACATGGCGTCTCTCGGCACTGTCTTCATGGCTGCAGGCCTAGCCATGAGGCGGCTCGAGCTCCCCGGGACACCCCTGCAGCCCTCGCCAACACCCCACTACGTGCTCGTCTATGGGGGCGGGACAGCAACAGGCACCATCTTCTGCCAGTTGACGCGACTGGCGGGTCTCCTGCCAATTGCTGTATGCTCCCCCAACAGCAACGAGCTCGCCAAGAAGTCCCAAGCCGTTGAGTGCTTTGACTATCGCGATCCCGACGCTTCCGTGGACGCAATCAAGAAGCTCACCAAGAACGGGCTCAAGTACGCGTTCGACTGCATTGGCTCGGTTGACTCTGCGCGCTTCTGCTTCCGAGCAATCGGCCGAATGGGTGGGCACTACGAGACGGTGCATGTCCCCCACGAAGCCATCACGCGAACGAGGAAGACGGTTAAGTCGGGATTTACGTATGGGCTTGAGATGGCGGGGTTGGACATTGACATGCCGCCACCTCACGGGCGGCCTGGCAATCCCGAGCTGAGAAAGTTTGGTGTCGATCTTGCGCGGATGCTGGAGGGATTGCTCCGCGATGGTAAGATCGTTCCGCATCCTGTCCAGGTGAGGGAGGGTGGATTGGAGGGCGCCCTACAGGGCTTAGAGGAGATCAAGGCGGGGACCGTTAGGGGCCATAAGCTGGTTTACTTGCTCTAGACAGCAGTGATCGAGGCACTTGGACACGGTAGTTAGCGACATGGTGAAAGTATTATTATTGAGCATTATTTCGTAATTCTGCTTCAGTATACGCCATGTCATATCATGATACAGTGTCACATCTCATGTTGCTTCTTACTTCTTGAAGGAATGCTCTACCCTGCAACTGATCAGACCACTTTCATGATCCCTGCTCCACAGATGTTGGTTGGTTGATACCCAATTTACGTCAGGACAATCGGTGTCTTTCTTGGTTCCGTGTCAGATTTCGCGTATTGAGTTCCGTTTCCTTTTCGGAAACAATTTCCATGCTTCTTAGTCCCGCGGGCTTTACAGGTTGACCATTGATCTTTTGTCTCGCGCAGCCACCGTGGTCACCTCGACTGTGTCAAGCCAGCGATTGACAATGAAGTTCCTGAAACGAAACAAGCCTCCAAACGAGGACGAACATCATGTTGTTCATGATGCGAGAGCTACTGCAGAGGAAGAGGCTGCCATTGACTACCCTCATGGCATGAAGCTCGCCCTTATCATGACCTCTGCTTATCTGAGCATGTTTTTAGTTGCCCTGGTATGCGATGCCCTTCCCCAGGTTATCCCAGTTGCTCGCAAAAATCACAGTGCTTTAATCAGAATGGCTAATAGATCAATTGTCTACAGGATCGACTAATCGTCTCGACCGCCATCCCAAAAATCACAGACGAGTTCCGCGCCGTCGCCGATGTCGGCTGGTATGCATCCGCATACTTCATGACAACATGCGCATTTCAGCTCATGTTCGGCCGACTATACACATTTTTCAGCGTCAAGATCATCTTTCTCATCAGCATCTTGATCTTTGAAGTTGGCTCAGCTGTCTGTGGCGCGGCGCCATCTTCTACGGCGCTCATTGTCGGTCGCGCAATTGCTGGCGTTGGGAGTGCTGGGATCTATGCTGGCGCTGTCATCGTCACGGTGTACTGCATCCCACTGGAGAAGAGAACGCCATATCAGGCTGTTGTCGCGGCGATCTTTGGCGTCACCAGCGTGTTAGGCCCTCTGCTTGGAGGTGCCTTTACTGACTCCAGCGCGACGTGGAGATGGTGCTGTAAGTTCAACTGCCTCCGAGAAGTGGATGGTCGCTAACGGAATAATAAGTCTATATCAACTTACCCATCGGAGCTGTTGCTGCCGCCCTCCTCGCGTTTCTGCTCCAAGTGCCCGATCGCGCAACTGCTCGGCTTCCCCTCAAAGAAAAGCTCCTTCGTCTCGATGGCCCAGGATGTGTTATGCTTCTCGGCGGTATCATTAGCCTCCTCACTGCTCTTCGATGGGGAGGCACAAAGTACCCCTGGTCCAACGGTCGCATCATCGCACTCTTCGTTGTTACTGGCGTCTGCCTTATTGCCTTTGTGGTGATCCAGGTCCTGTTTCCAAACCATGCGACTGTCCCGCCGCATATTTTCACTCAACGCAGTATCGCGGCTTCATCCTTCTCGATGTTCTGTACTGGAGCTACGATGATGACAACGCTATATTACCTTCCCATCTGGTTCCAAGCTATCAAGGGTGTCAGCGCTGTTCAATCAGGTATTCGCCTTCTGCCCACTGTCGTCGCTCAAGTCATCGCGTCGTTCGTCAGTGCCGGCGGTGTGCAAACTATCGGACAATACATGCCCTTCATGCTTGTTGGCAATGCCATCATGTGTGTCGGTACAGGTCTTCTTACTCTACTCAAAGTGCATACGAGCAGTGGAGAGTGGATCGGCTACCAGATACCATACGGCTTCGGTTTAGGCATCACTCTTCAAATCCCTCTGATTGCATCACAGACTGTACTGCCCTTGGAAGACGTCCCAACAGGTACGTCAGTTCTGATCTTCTGTCAACTCTTGGGGGGTGCCATCTTTGTCAGCGTTGGACAAAACCTCTTCACGAATGAACTGGTGAAAAGGATTAGTGTTATTCCTGGCGTTGATGTATTCAATCTTCAACAAGAGGGAGCTACAAGAATTCTGGAGGGTTTGAGCGAAACCACCAAACGGCTTGTTCTTGTAGCTTATAACGCTTCTTTACGGCAGGCTTTCCTTTGTGGGCTCATTCTGTCCTGTATAGGCTATCTAGGGGCTGTTTGCATGGAGTGGAGGAGCATCAAGCAGAACAAGCCGAAAGACGAAGCGCCAGGGACCGAGAGCACAGAGACAAAGGAGACAACAGGGGAACCAGTTGCCGTGAACGCGAACACAAATGGCAACAGTAGAGCATAAGATTAGATACAGAATAGCGGCATTGAGCGGTGCATTAGAAAGGGACTCTTGTTTCCAACTATAGAATATAATTGGAGCGTCATACGCTGTTTACCCGGTACTGAGTACTTTTCTGCCCGGAGACTTCTTGAGTAGAGTCCATAGTAAACACGCTCTAAACATAAGCTGCATGACTCGAAAAGGGCTACTCGTAGCGCTCCCGAGTAGTGCCCGCGCGCCAAGTTTTTCCGACTCCCCGTTGTATCCCTGTCAATTACGAAATCGACTGCGTCGCCTGAATCCTTCCACCGTTCCCCTACACATTATCTGCCGCGAACTTGCTTCTAGAGTGCCTGTCGGACAGTTTGACAGGGAGGGATCCACATGGCGTAACATGTATGGTATTTCGTAAATCCCATGCAGTTTTGTAAGATGTAAGTAAGCACAAGGTCTTGGGCTGCTTGGCGATTGCAACGTCGGTGATGGAACGCCAAGGTGTAACCGCTTGGATCTTACTTTTTGCTACCCGATAACCTTCGGAAGAGGAGAAACAGCAGTTCACAAGTTCCAATCTGACATGCCAATGTTATTGGGATAATATGCACGTCAGCAGGCCAAGGTCTTAGCTGATAAGCCCCATGGAGCATGAATGTCGCTGACGTCAAACCAACAAGCAGAAAGTACCTATTCCAAGATCGAATAGATTTACAACAGGTTGTTGTAAGATAAGTCAATTCCTTTGTCATACAGGGTAGAGCTTTCAATTCTTTTTGTCTATCTGTTCGTAAGGTACCAGCTTGCATATGCACCTCGGACAAAATGTGATAAGCCAAGAACCATAGTATTAGCCAAAAATGGAAGCAGATTCGACGACACAGTCAATTTTAGGACACTGTCTCGATAAAAAAGTTCCCGGACAGTCAAACTCTATTTCTCGAGAACCTACTTCCTCCTCCCCTCTATTTAACAACTACTCTCTGTATACAGCAACCTGACACCCATTCTTATTCAACTGCCCAATACGGAAAACACCCACAAACGGCGTGGGGTCTCTACACTCCAACCTCTTGTAAGTCTGCGCCATACGAGCAACCATATACCCACACTCATTCATCGTCATCATCTCACCAGGACATCGTCTTGGCCCGGTGTTGTACGGTGTAAGACTCAGCCCCGGACGCATCTTATCGAAGCGGTCCGGGTTGAACTCCAAGGCGTCATCGCCCCAGTAGTCTGGGTCTTTGTACATGACTGCCTTGTTGATCTGCACAATGTTACCTTTGCGCACGCGCACGGGCTGGTCGCCTTTGGGACCGCCGCCTCGCGGGAGGGTCGTGTCACGAACTGCGGCGCGGGCGATGAAGAGACCGACAGGGGTGATGCGATGAGCTTCAGTGAGAACGTTCTGAAGGAGCTTCATGCTGCGAAGACTGTTGAAGTTCAACTCTTTGCCCTTTACTTCTTCACGCAGTCGCTCCCAGATCTCGGGCTGCCTGGCCAGATTCCACATCACATTGGACAGGAAGATCAGAGTAGTCTCATTGTTGGGAACAAAGAGCAAGCACAGATGAGATCTGACTTCATCGTCATTCGGCAACTCCCGAACCATGTGCCAGCAGACATCCCGTCTCTCCGGCCCAACAGGAAGGCCCTTGCTGATGCGCTCCTCGCGCTCTTTAAGTTCAGCACGGGCCTTGGCGATATGCTTATTGACATAACTGTGAATTGTACCAACAACCTTGTACCATGTCTTCCATGGGAAGAGCCAGAGAACGCGGTGTAAGAGAAGGCGGATTCGTGCATATGCCAAACCAGTGATGAACGCATCAGTGGTCTTATTGGTCTCCTCTTCAGTGACAATATCAGAGTAATCGCCAAAGAGGAACTGGAGATTCAGATTCAATGACCAGGTTCGCAGATGGGGAAACATATCAAAAGTTTCGCCATCAGCAGGAATACCTGCAAAGAACCTCTCGGCAAAAGGCTCCATGCGCTCAGTATTGGCGTACCACTCTCGCATAAAGAATGGTTTGACAAGCGCGCGGGCAAATTCCCAGTCTTTGCCATCAGCGCCAACAATACCCTTCTCAGCGAAGGGCTGTCCAGCTTTGCTGTTGTAGCGAATAGGACCAACCTGGAAATCAGCAAGATTGTTGGCCACAGTCTTGAGGTTCTCAGGCTCAATAGTCCAAATCTGACGGCCACCAAGGAAGGTGAGAGCGAAAGTCTTGGGCATCTTGGCGTGTAAGCTGTCCAGCCATGGTACGTAGCGATTGTTCTTCAGAGCTAGTAGCATAGCAATGAAGGCGTCAACACCATAGAATGGATCCCATTGCCAGAGAGTTGGGACATGGCCGAAGCCCATTGACTTTTCTTGCTGTCTCTCAGCGACATATTTGATGAAGGATGTGAAGGCAAGGACAGCAACAGTGGAAGATAAGATAACGGGTATAGAGGTGAAGTCAACCCGAGAGGGGATATCAGCAACAAAGCCTGGTATGTCTGTGAAAAGGCCAGGTAAATCGGCGATAAAGCCTGTAGAGTTTGACATGTTGTCTTGTTTTGCTCCTAGTCTCGGACTTAGAAGCGTAGGTTTGTGAAAGTCATTGTGATCCAGGCTCTCCGGTAAAGCTTCACATATGTAATGCCTTATTCACAACTGGTCGTTGATATCGCCTGATTCTCAGAAATGCTGACTGGAAAAGGTACAAACAGTGAAAGTACCTTTCCCAAATCTCCTACACGACTATCATCTTCTAATGCACGCAGCTGCCAGGGAAGCGCTGACGCCCGCCCACTTCACGTCTAGGCATCTCACCTCTTGCCGCGTCTATCAGCCGTGATCATACCATCTTTACGCAAGCCGAGTATCCTCTGAATCCCATCACAATCCTTCCAACTCTATCAAAACAGCGATCCTTCTGCCTCGCGCAAGACGAATGGCGATTGGCCCTCTTCACGCAGGAACAAATCCTAGTTCGTTGCGCCGTAATCTCGCATGTAAGAATCTGCAACAGACAATGTGCCGTCATGCAAGATTATAAGCGCACGTTGACAACATCAGATCATATGTGTGGATATTGCTAAGCGAGCGTCAGATCATGCTTGCGTTAATCAAAACCTTCCAAGCCCCCCTTGAGTGCCGTCTTGCCGGTAACCCAGAAATGCACAGTCGTGAATGCACATAAGACAGATGCAACCCAAGAAACTGTGGAGCGGGTTGTATCAGATATGGGCCGTCCCGCTTCTAAGCCGGGAATGTTGTTTTGGAGGGATGAGAGGATAAGGTTATATACACACCTTAAGTTTCAATGCCTGAAAAATAAGGATATGACTTTAAAATAGGAGTACAGAGTATATTATTTATGTTCTATTAGGCGCTAAATACTAATACCCTATTTACACTATTTACTTTATGGTATTACTTTAAATATAATTTTCATATATTTATTACTTATTATCTATATAACTATATAATTAAATTATGAATTACTTTCTATAAAATAAAATACTCTATTATAGCTATACTTTATATTTTTAAATATTATATATAAAAATAACTAAGTAAGGCTTTTTATATCCTTAACCTACTTAATAATATTTAGCATTTCGATTAAGTTTACTAAATCTATTACCTCTTATATAATTAGAGATTAATAACGTTACCCATTCACAGCCAGAGCCCCGTATCAGGAAGTTTGAGGCCTGTTATACTATAAGAGCTCGCAGCAGAACACCCAACAAACATCCCGTCAGTAGTAAGTCCACTGCAATCATATCATACATCATTGCACACCCATCATGTCCCAATACGCCGCCACAGCAAGGACCCTCTCTCGAGCCCCTCTAGCAGGAAAGGCCTTCTCCCCCGCCCTCCCAACTCTGGGTAGGGTAGCACCCCCGTATCAATCCAAGTGGAAGCGAACAGAACCTGTGCCGCTTTCGGGAGAGAACTTCCTCGATGTCCTGTTTAACCGGACACCCGTGATCAAGCAACCTGGCTTCCTTGGTCGTGAGGAGTGCTTCGCTCATGAGAAGGCGTTGAGTCATAGGATCGCGCCGTATAGGTATTACACTGGACCTCTTTTGCAGAGGGTTGGGTGTGCGCAGTTCGAGTACCAGGCGCAAGCTGCGGCTGACTTTGAGAATCGCAAGAATGGTTTGTGCGATCAAATTCTCTCTTGTATAAAAAGTGATCTAACAGAATTCATTCATAGAAAAGGAAGAGTACTTCAAGGTCGCACAGTCTCTGAGTGGGCTTCATCAAGAGGTTGCAGATCAGACAGGAGTCAATGCCTGGGAGAAAGTCATCGGAACTCTTCGGGCACTGCTACCCGAATATGAGATCGTTCGTGCGTCAGAAGGGCCGGGCAAGACATACTTCTCAGGTAACTTCCGTGCCTTGAACGATTCAACTTGTCTTCACTGTGACTGGACGCCGTATGATGCTGCTACTGAAGACTGGATCATCAATCAGGTAAGCCTCTTTGTTCCCAACACGCCCGTCGACAACTTGAAAAAAAACCGTATAACTAACCTCATTCTTAGGTCACTCATCAGGCCGTGTTCAACTTGTACATGGCGCCTGTAAAGGGTGGCAGGACTTGGGTTCATGACGTTGAGTGGAGCGAGGAGTGCCTCAACTTTAGAGATCCTGACACTTATGGCTATCGTGATGAGATCATTCATGGCCGGCAGAATGTCGTCGTCAAGCCTGAGGTTGGTGACCTATGGTTCTTCAACTCAAGGAACATGCATCAGGTTGAGAAAGTTGAGCCAGAGCCTTGCCCTGAGCTCGGTCTGCCGTACAGACCACGACTATGTCTCAGCAGCTTCATTGGACTTCTACCTGAGCACAATACTGGAGGCCGTCCTCGATTGATATTGTGGTCGTGAAGTCGCAAAGTCTGAGAGCAAGTTGGGAGTGTAGATATCATTGATACTGTTGAATTATTAGACCGTTCTAAATAACACAAAGACCTATTCTGACGGGGCAATTATATGCTTCTAAGCTGAAAGCATTCGCCTGCTAGGAGCCCTTATAGCAACTAAAGAACGCATAATCCTAGTCTTCTATGGCCTCATCCCTAATGATTGCGAACTCAGACCCAGGACTTACTTCGAACTTTTCAACTTCTTCCAATGCTTCCTTCAACTTAGCACGGATCAGTCTGTAATCCTCAAGCCCAACACTGATCCGGATGGTATGTTTCGGAAGACCGTACTTTTCGAGTTTTTCCTGCTCATTGTATGCTGACAGTTGGACAAAAGGAATCGCGATTGTGAAGTTGGTGCCGAAGCTGGGACCTTTGCAAACATCCAAATGGTCGTAAAAGTGCTCAGCAGTTCCACGGTTGCGAAATACCAAACTGAAGACATTGCCATATCCTCCATTAAGTCGGCGGACACCGTTGTAGTTGTAGAAGTCTGGGTTGTAATAAGGATAGTTTATGCGAGCAATTGAATGGTGAGTGGTGAGAATATTCATGATCTTCATAGTATTTGTGTTGGCTCTCTGCACCCTTTCCACTAGGTTCTCTGAGTTTTGTCTGAGGACGGAAATGTCTCTGGGGAAACAAAACACCGATTCATATCGACTTTCGATGGTTTCGTGGAGCTTCTTATAGTGACGAGAATTTGGATTGATAATGACGCTATATCAAGGCATGTATCAGCAGTCGTTGCTATTAAGCCTAAACGTTTTGTATGGCATCACATACCTTCCTCCTGTCACGTTTGCTGCTCCGCTGAACATCTTGGTCAAACTCGTCGTTATGATATCGACATATGGCAAAATGTCGACGTTGACAAAGTTGCCAACTGTTTCGTCGCAAACAACGACGAGATCATATTTCCTTGCTAAATCTCGGATTCTTTTCAGGTTGGGCGAAGTCAACTTGATGTTACTCGGTAGCTCACAGAAGACAGCGTAAATCTGCTTCTCATTGGGGTTCAACATTTGCTCAAGCTGATCCAAGTCCTCTTCACGGCCCAATCTGAAGGGTATGACCTCTTTCCATTGCCCCCGACGAAGATTGGTGATTGTCTCAGGGTAGATCCATCTACAGAAGAACGGTTAACTGGAATCAAGTTTCATTACGGAGACGCGTAGCTCACCCGAAGGTGACAACGCTTGTGTTTGGATTGTTAATCGCGAGTGCTTCAGAAGCGTTGTAAATTGCGTTCATCCCGTTGGGAAAGATGAAGACGTCTCCGGGCATTACAGCCTTTTCAACTGGACCCTCTGAGGTCGCCAAGCGAGCGATATAATGTTGCAGGCCTGCAAGATCCGATGCGCCACGGTAAATCCACTCTGCGGAGTACGGGTCATGGGAAGGCATCCTTGCAGCCGGTGTGTTGAACTGAGGCAGAGGGGAGGTTGAACGGAGTTCGTCAAAATATTTTAAGCAGTATTCGGCGTGTCGTGTGGTAATGCCAGTGCCTTCGTTTACCCAGATATCCATTACGTGTGCTTTGGACTTGGGGTCAACTAATAACGCCGAGAACGCAAGGTACATAGTTTTATTCTCTGAGTTCGCTGGCTCGGGCGCTGGAAAGCTAAAACGGACGTGTTCGGCGGCCATGTTCTTGTGCCGTAATTGCGCGACGTAGTCGTCTACGTCATCAGAAGAAGGAAAGATATAGCAGGCCGGAAGGTCCACGGATCCTAACCGTTCAATGACAAGTTTGGCGAGCGATCGGACAGGGAGGCAGATGTAGAATCTTTTGATACTTAGCGTCAGATGTGAACAAGATTCGTTAGGGGGATCTCACCTTGGGTAGCTGTAGTCAATTGAGTCCAACACCGTCCTGTCTGCCAGCGCAATATCTCTGACGTCCTGCCAGGTTGGGAGCGAAGAGCTAACTGCCTGGAAAGTGTCAAAGCTGATGCTGATTGAATGAAGTCGAGGGCTCTTACATGAGGTGCTCCAGGTGGATAGATGTTCGGTTGATGCAAGGGGAGCGCCCGGAGGGAATTGGGGTAGACCCCGGTCGGACTCATCGTAAGTTGATAAATAGTGCCCTTAACTTATGATAACAAGCCTAAGCGTTTGCGGGGTTTAGGATCCAGGGCCTAAGCTTATGATAAAATGCATAAATCTTTGTAAAGTTTAGGATCCTAGGCCTGCAAGTCTGAATTCGAGTTCCTTGAACTGAGGAGAGGTATGGGGGAAATTGCTCTTTCTGAGAGGCTCCAGATAAAACCATTTCAAGGTAATCACAAGGAACAATTTTCAAGGGGAAAGTCCAACGTCTGACATGTAAGGGGAAGGTGACTGAAGTAGGAAGTTACGATGCTCCTCCATCGATGGATGTAACACCATAGGTGCGTAAACTCGTAAAACCAGCCTCAATAATTACTGTAGGATCATGGCAAAAGACAACTAGAAGAAGAAAACTAGAAGAAGAAGAAGAAGGGTTTTCCTCGTGAATACTACTTGGGAAAGCCCTCTCCTGTCACCTGTGTGACTATTAACAGAACCGCTTCCAAGGAGAAAAGAACTTCTGACATTAGGCCACGGCACTAAAATAGACTGATGCAGACGCTTACTAGGATAAGACTAAAGTTGTACAAGCCTTTATGTCACTGGAAAAAGAGTTCTTGAATTTCTCTTGCCTCTCGGTCCTATCACAGAATTTGAGAACAGAAACACTGTTCCTTTTTATGATTCATGGCCACCACAGAAGACAGAATTGAAAACTCGCAGCGTTTCGCTAATTATGGTGGTTCATCTCCCGGTATTCCTTTGTAGACTTTTGACGATAATTTGCGATACCATTCAGGACTAGAATGAGTGATCAACAAACCGAATGACCTTTCGCCCAGTCCCACTCAGCTCAAACCCCAGAGCATCATTGACAAATGCGACCTTGAATTTGTGCTCATTCAAATAACTGACATCAAGACAGTCCTTCAGCTGGTCCAAAAGGGTCTGCAAGTGCGCTTGATCCCCCGAGCTCTGGCCGCTCAGCAGACGAATCTCCAACGAAATTTCTTGAGACGGTTGCATCTTGTCTAGTATCACCTGCCAAAGGAGAACTCCCGATTGAGGGTTAGATAATATCGTATTGAGCTTGTCGAATTGAAAGTCGCATCCATCCCACATGAAACTGAAGCGATGGTCGCGGCCCTGTAGGCGAAGAATGCGGCAATGAGGCACATCGTGTTTGGCAAGCCGACCAACAGACTTTTGTGGCAAAGGATGAAGGGAACCGATGTCGCCAGTTATGTAACGTATCACGGGGTGGCGCAGACGTGTCAGTACTGTTTGTGCAATGACACCTTTTTCTCCGTCCGGCAGTGGTTCAGGGATCTCGTCGCTATCACTCTCCGCGCAAGATAGAGGGAGGACCTCAATGATGGTCATCCGTGTATCGATAATGAAATCATTATGGTTAGATCGGGGGTCAAAATCGACGAGAAAGGGACTGCTAGCTCCATAAGGCCCAGCTTCTGCACTACCAAGTATAGAGTATATGGCGACCGGGGCAAGCACCTTGTAGATTTGGACTCTCTGTATCAAGGAAAGCCCTTCTGACGTGTAGATCACTTTTCTGATCTTGTTCTTGTTCTTTTTATCTGGAATGGTCGATATATGGTGGACAATCGATATGATCTGACTGCTGTCGCCGGTGAGGACATTGACGTTGAAGTCTTGCAAGATCTGTACCACAGTCGCAGGTGTACATTGGTGCCCAGCGGCTAGCACAGAAGCCCCGGCATTTTCCATAGTCTCCAGTGTTAAATCAAGCGATCTGGGAGGATGTTAGTGGTGATGGATCTTTGATGGCAGCGCTTTTGCAAACCTGTACAAGCTGCCGCCATGATGAGTCGACAAGACCCAGTCCCCACGTTCAATGATGCCGGTCTTCTTGAGAAATTCGCCGAAGAGGGCCCTATGCCGACGATTTTCGAGCGCATCTGTCGCAAAGAACAAAGGCTTTGATACGCCTCCTCCTCCACTCGTAACGCTGGTGTAGACATTGTGGCGATAAGTGTTCCTCGCGTCGGTGTCATTGATCAGCCGTTCAATTACGGTGTATCTAATGCCATCAGATACTGCCTATGGAATGTGTGAAAAACTTACAAATCGGCTTTCTGAAGCAACGGCCATGACTTCAAGTCAGGCCGTTCGTACTTCAATGCTGCTTTCTCTCTTGCATCCTGAATGGTCTTATTGTCTGGTGGGTACTGAGTAGAGCAGTAGAAAGGGTGTATTCGTGCAACCGCAAGCACGTCTGCCAATGAATATGTCGGGCTGGGGGACATCCTGAACTTCAGCAGCGAGTACAAACTGTTTGTGTCAAGGTAGTATCCGTAGTCGGTTCCCGACCGAATTATAAAATTACTTAGATTCTAGTCTCTTTTCACCTTGCATAGAGTGAACAAGAAGCTTAGTAACATCGGCTAAAGTTGCCTCAGTAGCCCGTGTATCGTTGCCGTGGCTTGAGCTGTCAAATGTCTCGGAAGAGGCCCTTCCCGAGAAACGGCTGAGTCCGAATATCTTTCGTAGTCTGCCCAGACATGGAGCCCGAAAACCACTAAATTAATGCATCTCGTGTTACTATAACATAGAAATTGACGCAAAAGTAGCAATTCATGCAGGGAAATGATCGAAATTTCCCGAGAGGCTGAATACGTAAAAGGTTATTAGTACCTCAACAAGCTATATTTAGCTATTCCTCCCAAAGGCGAGCTTGTCTGATGCAAATCTTGCGGACCGATTGGTACTCATAATTCGCTCCGTATCAGACTGTTCATAGCGGATAGAGATCCTTCGGATGAACTGCATGATGCGGAGGCATTTTCTACAAATAGACATACAGCAATCCATAGCCGAGAACCTGTTGTTTGTGAAGAACTATTTGTTTCAGTCCTGTTTGAACTATTGATTCGTCTTGCCCTTCCCCGCTCTAAGTATCCCATTGGAGATACTGAATGGTCGTGCATCCCATCTCACCCTCCGAAGGTGGCGCTCTGGATCCCTGATTTCATTCCGAGCATGCATCCATCGGCGGTTGTCCATCAAGATAATCGACCCCTTTGGCAGGTCAGACGGCTTCAGATGCATAGTTGAAGACGCCTGTACTTCGCGCCGCACCAATACTGCGCTCAGCTCTTCAAGTGCCTTTGCAGCCCGAGTAGTTAGTGGCTCAATAATATCGTGTCTATAGCGAATAATTATTGAGTGTGGATCCGGGGCGAGAATGCTGCCAGTAATAAATGATGTCTCAGGGTCTTTGATGAACTCCGACGGGATTTGCATTCGAAACTCGGGCGCCATCAAGGCTTTTCGTGTTTCCGGTGATAGAAACCCAATGAGGCTGGCTACGTTCATCGCAGAGAGGGTGCCACCTCCATAACGATCATGTTGTAGGACCTGGAGGGCAAAATATCTCGGCAATGGATCTTCATAGCTGCAGTCGGTGTGCCATGAGAACTCACTCATAGTTTCAGAGCGAGCATGATGAACTCCTGTAGTGGCGGCGGGTTTCGGCCGCACGTCCCAGAACCAGCCTCTTGTCGCACTATGAGTAATTGGCAAGTGATGGCCATGATGCTTGTGCATACTCAAGATGACATCCCGAAGGTAGTCAGAAGAGTCATCGGGAAAGCCCAGGCGGATCTTGAGTAGACCGGAAGACTGAAGCTCTGCCGCAACTTCGTAAACATGTCCGGGATCACGAGCACAGGAGATATGTGGTGCATCAAGAACCCGAGGTTTGCGTTGTAGTGTGCCATGAGAACGAATGAGATGGCGAGAATATGTCGGCCCAAGGGTGCCGAATCTTGTAAGACGCGAAAGTCTAGTCGTCATAGCGAAAGACATAGCAGAATGTGTGATGGAACAAGATCTGGAGATAACAGAGCCATTCGAGGAAATTCAGTCTATTATCGACGTTCGTCGAAGTACGTACCGTAATGTCCTCTCTGTAACTCTAGTTGAAGCTGACTATTCTACGGCCGTCCCCATTTTGACACCAATGCAGTCCCCCTTGTGGCTTTATTGTCTCAAACACAGCAACATCAATGGTACTCTTGATCTCGGGCAGCCAGGATGAAGATGAAAGCCAAGTCTGGCTACATGACGCCTCCTCCATAAGCATAAATAGCCTCAGGCGATGTCATCCACCATCTGATAAGTTAGGCTCAAATCTGTAAATTCATCCGTATACTATGCAAACTGGACAGCTTGCACAAATCCACATCGGGGAGGGTCATGGAGAAGTTCGGTCCATATCGCAACAGAGCTTCGACGTGGCATCATTCTCTAATGAGGAAGCTCGATTCCAGGAAAAGCTGCTGAAGGCTTGCCCTGCAAATCTCTGGCACAAGGGTTCTTACACGGCAGGATGTCCGCGGCCTGTCCTAGTGGGCCGACATCACCAACAGCAGCTGGAAAATCTCCATGAAGCTTTGACAGCAGCCATCACGGATGTTGTGCAACGCTGGTGGAGTGACAGAGACGCAAGGTTCCCCGAGCGTATGCCGCTAGAGGCTAAGGAGGAAGAGATTCTGCGAGCACGTCAATCCATCGTCTTTGAGACAGGAAGAAGAAATGAGGTGGCAGCTGACATGTCATACAGTGGATCGAGGGCCAAGTCATTACCGGGAACCTGCCGCAATTCTCGCAGTGTCGGGGATCATGGCGCCCAGACTTTCTCGTGGAGGACAACAGCGAGCGCGAAGAAAACTACTGCATCACGGAAATCAATGCGCGTTTCTCGTTTAACGGGTTCATGCACGAGGCATATGGACAAGCGGCAACCAACGAGAGCATAGAGAGCGCGGAGACGGAGCTTATGCCCGCCACTGACCCGGACACTGTGAGACAATACCCATGCACCTTTCGTTTAATTATTTTGACACAAGCAGATACTGGAGGGGTTATTCAATTTGTTCGATCCCGAGTATCCACTGCATCTTCTGAAAGGTGCCGAAAAAGGCATCGATATCCACATGTTTATTGACGCTGTCCAACATCGTTTCGGCGTAAAGCCACGGCTCATTTCCCCCGCAGATCTCAGACTTTTCCCGGATGCACGCAGCAAAAGCGGGTTCCGGCTGTGCTGTGTCATACACGATGGCGATGGGCAAGTCTCCAGCACCTGGAGATTTGTATCTCCAAATGGTGAAATCTGTGAAGAGATACATCAAGTCGGGCTTGAGTTACATCAGCGGGAACTCCTCGCTCTTGAGCCGGAAATGCTGCGCCAAATCAGCCTGCGCTGTTTCAATGACATGCGGACTATACTTCTCGTACATGACAAGCGGATGCTGGGCATTGTGAGACAGGAGATCCCGAAGCTAGTGGCGCGAGGAGTAGTCACCGCAGTTCAAGCTGAAGCCTTACGTCTCGGCATCGTGGAAACACTCCTGCCTGGTTCTGATGAGCTGAAAGATCTGCTGCGAATGTCCTTCACTTCTCCCGACTTAAGACACGGCTACATCCTCAAGCCCATCCGCAGCGGCAAAGGCAATGGCATCATTTTCGGAGACGATGTCACGGCACCCGAATGGACATCCCTTCTTCAAGCTCTCTCACCGCCGGGTGACGTTTCAGCGGAGCTTTGCGTGGTACAGAGGCTCATCACTCCCCGCGAATATGATTTGGTGCTGCGTGCGTCAAACGGAATGGTTCGATATCCTCTGGTGGGTACGTATCATGTTTCAAACGGGAATTTGCTCGGTCTCGGGACCTGGCGAGCGAGCGGAGGCCGAATTGTTGCTGTATCATCTGGCGGATCTTGGATTTGTTCAGTCATGAAAGGTGAGGGAGAGGCTCGGGAAGAATGAAATGCAAGTATTCTTTGGTTTCTTTTGAACTTTGCTTGCCATTCCTTACAAATTCTGTCCACTATCTATCAGAGACTGTCGACTATCTTCAACGAGCTAGATCACATTGACTTCTTTGCCTGAAGACAACCATTTGGCCTTATTCGCCAAGCCTCCAGAAGTAAAGATCTCCTCCAAAGCCTTACCATCCTGCGTAAAGTGCGTCCACGACTCAAAATGCATAGGGACAAGGATATCAGCCCCCAGAACTTCCATCATTCTCACAGCATCCTCCCCTCCCATTGTGATCTTTAATAATCCTGTAGGACTCTTGGGGCTAGGCAACATTGCCTGTCCGAGATTCGTGAGTGCAACCACGACATGATATCTCTCACGAAGCTTCCTGAACTCTTCCTCAATAAATACAGTGTCGCCGGTGAAGTAAACCACATTTGGGCGTCCATCTGGGCTCGTACCGAAGGACTTTTTGTGCAAGAGAAAGCCTGTTACTTCGCCGCCTGGGACATGGACGCAAGGAATACCAGTAATGCTCCATTCTTCGCCTCCAAGCTGGAACTTCAAGGTTTGCCACGGCTCAATAGCGCATGTACCAGGATAGTCAGATAGGTTCTTTGCACCGTCGGGCGTAGTAATGACTCTGCGGCCGATGAGGAGTTGACGGCCTGTCTCATCCAGGTTGTCCACGTGATCTTCATGACTGAGCAAGACGCAGTCAATGATAGGGATTTGTTTGATTGTTATAGCGGGGCCTTCTTGCATGGTGAGGAAGAACTCTCCCGGTTTTAGCCCAATTGCTTGCGACCGGTCATGGCTCTGAGGAGCGTCGTCGAAGATGGGATCAGTGATGAACTTGACACCATCGATGTCAACAATCGCAGTTGCTGTTGTAATGTGAGTGATGGTGACTTTGCTATTAAAATTCTCGGGAATCCTCATTTTGATAATACTTTGTACGGCGGTGATTGCACGTTACAAGTAATGAGGTTTGCTTGGTTCACCAAGGCCAGCCCCATCTTGCAATAGCTTTAGATATATAACAGGCAAGGCCCGATGCCGTTATCCATTTATCAGCCAGCTGATAAATTAAACCCCGAGGAAAATAAGATTTCCTTGGATGTGATAATGTAATCATTGGTAGTGTCGGGCATGTTGGTAATTTTTCCGTCTCGAACGTATGTAGCTCGGTGGCCTGTCTTGAAATAGTGGATCTGGGCCTCACTCTCAACCCAAGCTTGAGATCTCCATGATTGAATCAATAGTGCATGTGCAACACAACCCTATGACGCGTTTCAATAATTAGAGAAAGCCTCTAATCAGAATTCGTGTATTAAATGAAAATATCAACAACTAAATCAGACTGCGTAAGTTCAGTAGCGCGATACCATCCTCGCCGCTGACAGGACCACTCTCATCAGAAAATGCCTTTATCTAAGAAACCCGAGCCTTTAAAACAGAATATCTGATTACTCTTC